GAAGATATTAAATGGTTGGGATGCTATGGCGCTAAATATTCGACCACGCGCCCATTCCAATAAATCTACAAGTAATACATATTTATATATATATATATATATATATTTAAGTTTTTTTAGTGTGTAATAACTGAGGAGCAGTGTGCAAAATTTTAACATGAGACGCACAGAAGTTAAGACCCCATTTACGTCCACACGCAAAAACGTACCGCGCTGATAAACTACAAAGAGACCGCCCCAAACAACGACGACACAGTTCACCGTAAGAACTAAATTCTATTTTTTTTGTATGTGTGTGTGTCTGTGTGTGTGAGAAAATCTCCTTCTTTCCCAGGCTCTGAAATTACAGATTGAATCTACGGACTATCAAGGATTATCAAAGTTTACACAAAAAATATTATGCTTTGGGTACTTTTGCTGTGAAAAATGGTTGTAAATATGTAACATTTATGAAGATGAAATACGGATATCTTTCCTAAATTGTACACTGTTCAATTATTAACGTTAACAACGAACTATTTTAAATTACAAAATTCTACTTGGATTAAACGAAAATTACAATATAATACATATTACGTATAATATATTTCTTCTGGACATCATTTTTGACGGCACGGATACACTAGTTACATATAAAAAGTAAAAAATTCTAACATAATAACTTAATAATAGCATAATATAAAAAAACTTCAATAATGTTGTTGAATTTTCTTTTCTATGTTTCTCTAGTAAACTTATACATTGGTTCACAATTATTTCATTATCTCGTAGACTAACTTGCCATTTAACTGATAATGGTCTATTAAATCATACATCACTAATGAACACAACGAAAAACACGAGAAATTCAACAAATATGGGTAATACAAAACATCTATGCCATATACATTTTGGTGAAAAATAGTATATGTTAGACGGTTTAACCGCAAAAAGTAAACACCCCAACATTAAAAAAATTTACGAACAAACAGGGTAAATATATTTAGTAAGTAAATAAAGATCACTCGAAACTATCCTGTGACGTTGCGACATTGAAACGTCACGCTTAAATAAATTTTAAAACTCTAAATGTATTTTTAGCATAAGAAACATAATCTTTCTTTGAAAATGGATTATGAAAGCCGAAATCACTTAGTATTCGGCCAATATTTGTACAACCTTACTACTGACGTCAAACACCAAGTCAGACGGGAGGAAAAAAGATCATAAATAATAGTTGCCAAAGAACATTCGTTGGCATTTAATGAAACTTTATATATATATATATATATATATATATATATATATATATATATATATATATATATATGTGTGTGTGTGTGTGTGTGTGTGTGTGTGTGTGTGTGTGTGTGTGTGTGTGTGTCATTAAATAATTTAGACAAATACTTTCGACATTAGCACTATGTCGTCATCATGGTCTCGTTTTTCTAAGCCATAATTAGAAAATTATATATATGTATATATATATATATATATTTCGAAAGAAATAATGAATTTATTTTTAATTCTTATACACACACACAAACACATACACAGTGGCCGAGTGGTTAGAACGTTCGCATTCAGAGCATGAGAGCATGAGAGCCGGGTTCGAATCTCACCATGTTTGATTTGTCAGGAAGAAGACAACCTGAAGTTATTTGGAGGGGTCGATCCCAGCGTGCGGCATCTTTAAGCGAAACTGGGTAGCATTAGGCGTCGTCGATAGCTGTGCTAGCACGAAGTCGCAAGGCAAGGGTTTGAGCGTGCTAGCCTTGTTTAAATTGTTGATCAAGGTAGAAAATATGCTCATTTCCAGATTCATGGGTTAAAGTTCTCTCGGTATCAGGGATAGAGTACATGCAAATGTAAATATGAAAGTGGATACATGATGTTTCAGTCTGTTTCATGCTTGAACAAAATGGCTGAAGATTGCGGTCATGTATGAAACAGACTATCGCCTTTCAGTGGTGACCTCAGCTTACACGCATGAATTATATACGAACGCTGCTTGAGAAGACAGATTTACGTGAGGTCTACTTAAGCTATGTAAGACTAACACAAAAATTAAACATAGGAGGATTTTCTTTTTCTTCTCCATATTTAGCATTTTTTGATGAAGCTTTAATAAAAGCGAAACGTATTAGATTTATAAACATTTCCTATATGTTCCTTATCCTAGCACACACACACACACACACACATACATACACATATATATATATATATATAATGACAATTTGTGACTGTTAGGGATAATTTCGAGGAGGATATTAATCGAAAGAGAGCTCAACGTAAACTACAGAGCATTATAATAAAAATAACTGAAGAAAAAAAAGCTTAAAGATCCATTCCGGTTATAATTTATTTTGTGAATATATACATATATATGTGCATGTATATATATATATATATATATATATATATATATATATATATATATATATTATGTCTGTGTATGTGTACGTGTGTGTAGTATGTATGTATATATATATATATATATATATATATATATATATATATATATATATATATATATATGAAATGGACTAAGTCCGACATTTATTTTAATATATATTTTTTTGTTTATATGTTATTTTTATAGATACAAATATTTAAGTAAGTGCTCCGTTTATAATAAACAGTATTAACAGCATTTACCGGCCTAAATATCAAAGAAAATACGTGAGAGACGCCAATAATCTTTGGAGCAGAATTTGCGTGATGCAATACGCTGTTTCATTCTATCAGCAAATAGTGGCTTTGCTTCATTGAGGACACGCTTGCATTTATTACGGGCCGAGACAAAGTTTCTATGAGTAGCGTCCTAGGACCAATATTTCTTCTACACGACTAATCTAAAAAATAAAGTACTTAATGCCACAAAAATTCCATTTACCTAAGATATGTAAATGACATTTTCACTTTAGTCAAAAACAGACGAAACAGTTAAACTACAAAAATTTTAAAAAAAACCCTCCAAACTTAAGTTCACAGACGAACTTAACAACGACAATACAATTCCGTTTCTTGATGTATTAATAGACCCCAATATATTTACTACCCCCTGATATAAAAATGTCCTATTGAATGCCCTATTACAAGATAGCTATTATAAGAAACTTAATAAACCGTGCAAAAGCAAACTCTTCAACAAGATGTTCTATACTGGATTAAAAAAATATTATACAAATCCTCATTAATAATGACTTTCCTAATTACATTATTGATGAAAAAATTAGACAAGGCATTGGGAATATTAACATAAATAAAAATGAACATAATACGTCCTCAAATAACTCTAAACATATCAAATTACTATACTGTAATCAAATGCATTCTAACTATAAGCAGGAAGAAAAAATCTAAAAAAAAAACTCATAAACACTAATATATCCCCCCACTGATCCAATTAAAAAAATAAAATTAATTATATACTATACTAAATTTAATACAACCAACCATCAGCCATAATATTTTTTCTCTGTCAACTAGCGTCTTACAAAAGACCAACATTTTATACCAATTTAAATGTTTTTTGAGAGATTGGATGCGTATGTTGGCTTTACAACAACGACGATGACGAGAAGACTTATGTTTCACTAGCGCGATCATAGTTCAATATCAGCACATTTATTGGAACACTCATGTTTACATTCATATTTTAGACAGATATTAGTCGAAAATACATCAGTGCTACATAAAGATAATATTAAGCTAAATATTAAAATTATGAAAGCCCTTTATATAAGAGAATTACGGTCTACGAGTATACCAACAAATTTTTTAAATGTTTGTAGCAGCAAAGAAAGTGTTATATCAAAAGATACTAAATTAAAATACTACAATTAAAAAATCTTTTTTTAAAAAATCACATAAGTTACCTCCCTTCATAGCGGTGAAAAAATATTTTGAATTTAGAGTGTTAACGCATAACACATCCATAGATATGCAACCCCTGAAGATGGTCTCAGATGAGATTGAAAATTTGGAATTTTTCTTGATCAATTTTCTACAAAAAATTAATTCGTGGACTTGAAAGGATTAAAACTGAAATAAATAGACATAATACGTCTAAATTATTTAACCAAAGAGGCTTGAATGAAAATATACTGCCTACACGCAAGACAAGAGTAAAAACTATACTTAGCCGACGTGTTTCGTCTTCTGAGAAACTGGACATTGCCTTGATAAAGTCCCTTAGAGGACGAAATGCGTCGGCTAAATATAGTTTTTCCGCTCGCCCCATTTTATTTCTTTTGTTTCTTCTACAGATAAACTATCTGTGAATAATTACATGCATATATATATATATATATATATATATATATATATATATATATATATATATATATATATATATATATATATATATATATATATATATATAATATATATATATATTAACACCTTACACACCTGTTTGTTTAAACAATTGCTCTAGCCGTTACCATAGAAATTTTGATTTCAATAATGAATATGTTATTAAAACACGTAAATTTCAGAAATAAGTTATTCCAAAAAAAAATTTCGCTTGAAGATGGAACAGAGCTTACTTTAATTCAATTTAATTCAAATAATTATATTGAAGTTTTCGGCTCTTGTTTTAAAACATGAGAACTCTTATGTAGCGTGTTGGAATCATATTTTTAAATAAATAATCATATATATATATATATATATATATATATATATATAATTATTTATTTTAGGATATTAAAGCAAAAACATGTTAAAAATCGCTAGAAGATTACAATTCTGTTTCCACACTACAAATGTGCCTCCTCGGACGATGTTAAAAATCTGACATATATATGTTCGTTGGTAAGTTTTGATGTTTCTTTTTGCTCGAAATAGCAATTCCTTTTGCATGTTTCTTTTTTTTATTTATATCTTTGTCTACGTCAAATAGAGGGCATTTGCGCATAATTGAATATAACCAACCCGATTGGAATTGGAACTCGGCTCTCCCATTTGCAATTTCGACCACGTTATCCCTTACTCCATCCGTACATCCAAACTTGCAGAACCTGGTATTCCCAGTCTGTCACCCAACTAGGTACTGACCATGCTCGACGTTGCTTAACTTCGGTGATCGTACAAGAAACGATGTTTCAACGTGATATTGTTG